GTGATCCTGCTATAAATCGATGCAGACGCGTCCTCTGCATTCGTTATTCTCAACTCCAGAACGATCGATCTGGTTCTGAAGACAACCCTTCCTAGCTGGGGTGTAGAGACAGAGTCTGATCCCAGGGCAGGGAAGGACACAGCTTGGAAGATGCTCAACCTCGGGCCGCCTCCTGCATCTGCTATATTCTTTCCCTGGGAAGTTGAGCACATTGTCTTGTCCTGTCTCTTGAGTCTCACTTTCCATCTTTGTAAAAACCAAGTGAATACACACCTCCGTGTGTGCTAGTGACGATTAAACTGACAAGCTCATGTTAAGCAGCTCTTTTTGTTCTGTTTCAAGCACTATGTGTTGCATTGACTATTTGGAATACAGCAAGAGGGACTTAAGAGCCATCAACGAATCTGAGTTGGTAATAACCAAATGGACAGTCTTGCTACCACCACCGTTCACTTCATTCACTTATCTGCGGATTACATTAACACATTCAATTTGTGGAACGGAACTAAATTATTCTCTGACTCTAAATTCCAAATAGACAGGCTATAGAGAGATCAGGTGATTGAACAAGTACTAAATGATAATGTGTAAGAGAAGGACTTTTATTTAGTAAGCACTTGAGAATTAGAAGCATTTTTGATGCTTAATCAAAGTAATATAATGGTACCTGCTTTGTGTCTTCATAGCCCTCGATGGCTTACTTCTAGATGGTCTAAGGAAGGTCTAAGTCTGAATGAAACTCTCGGAGCCTTTCAGTTCTCTCTCCAGGCCTCTTGCCTTGCTCCGCTGCTTCAGGTCATTCTCGAGAAAACGCTGGAAGCAGCAGCTTCCGATGGCTTTTCAGAGTCACCTTTATGTGTCAGGCCCTGGCTGGTTGATGTTATCCCAGCCAGCTCCTCAGCATCCTCCAGGTGTCCACTTTCTTGTCCCTTCTCTGATGGCTCCGTCTCCCTACATTCCTGCCTCCAGCTTCAGAGGGTCCTTTTGAGACATGCCCATTTGGAAATCTCCTGACCATTCTTTACTTCAGGCAGCCAGGTGTGAGTCATCACACAGGTATTTGCATTTCTGAAGGCCAAGTGACCTGCAGCCACTCCTGCTACACGAGGGCCAGTTACTCTCCACTCTACGCTTTTAGGAAATATTCTCCATGGCCAGACAGCTCAGTAATTTCATAGGTGGGAACCTTAGTTCAAAGAACTAAGAACTTTTGGGGAACCTTAGTTCAAAGAAATGTCTTTCCTAACTCGTGGTGGACCGCTTCACTCCTACTGGGGGAGCGGGTACACGCTTCTGTGGTAGCTGCCAGGTGCTGTACCTTGGTTTGTACACTGCTGCAGCCCAGGTAGACATTTGCCAGGTCCACTAGGAGACTCGCCACAGAACCTAGCACACTTGCCCCTGTCCCAACCCCGCAGTGCTATTTTGGAAGAGATGCAAAACAGGACCAGCAGGCCCCCTGGTTCTAGCTTCCTGACCACGATGTAGACCAACAGTTCCCAAGGCCCTAAATGATTGTGGGAGCACCAGACAGTCTGAGTGCAGGGCTCATAATTAAGAAGGTCCTTCTCCAAGCTTACTGGCCCCGATGCTCTTCTCCGAGACCCCAGGACCCCTCTGACTGTGGGTTTGACCCAGCCCAGGGGTCTTTGGTGGCGGCTGGGTTTCTTCTCTAAGAGCGTTCTACCTGGCCTGACCTGGCGTACAAATAGACACCAGACCCAGGAGCACTACATCTACACCGCCCCCCCCC